GTATATTATTATTATTACATAAACAAAAATAACAAACTAACTAAACTACTGTGATAAGAAACATAAGAAAACTAAGAAGCCGACCGAGGCTCGGAGCATGAAATCAGGTAATGATGTGCTGGGGAAATGAAGACAGATGAATGGTTAAATACAACAGAGGATGATGCGGGAGTGGAAGCACCTGGGCTATTGCAGACTAYGGACAGATGTGAGTGGCAGGCTGGATATCACTAAAAAGCGGAGGATAAAGTGGAGGGAATGATACAGGGAGACTTGACTTAATAGGAAATAAGAAACTAAAACACAAGAAAACCAAACAAAACAGACTGAAAAAATGAATAAAACAGAAAACACTAACCAAGGCAAGCATCATTGCAATGGCCACATATAGGGCATTTGAACAAACCTTCATAAAGCTAACAAATGTATAAATGTACGCCTGATTAACYTTTGAARTCAATCAAACTTAAGATGGCTCCCATAGTTAATCAAGATTTCAAAGAAAAATGGCAGTAATGCTCTATAATTCTATTGCTATCAGTCAAACCCAGTAGTCAGCCATCCTGACAGCTTTAACATTGCAATTTGATGAGTTTAGTGGTGTTTTACCTAATTTCAATCCTATTAGCTGTGACTTTACTTCACATTTACCATGAGATACTGCAACCCAATCAGTACATCTATCCCCCCAGAGGTTGTTCTTCAGGCTGTTTATGCTCTCTGAGTGTTTCATCTTTAAAGTTTGTGGTTGAGTCAGCAGGCTAGTTATTGCAGCTAATTATACGACACTCTGAGAGCTGAACATCTAAAGCATGTCATTTCACTTTGCAGCATCTCAGCCATGTAATCTGTGTCAGCATTTCCTGTGGGACAGCGTAGGTCATCTCCTTTTTTACAAACAGGAATGCATGCTGTTACCTTATCTGAACTGTTCCTATCAGAAAATTGGTACTTCTGTAAGAGTGTCTGAATTTTTTATTAAAAACAATCATAAAACGATTAAGCTGTTATTTGTTCTTCACTTACTTATTGTCCATCTCAGTACACTTGTTTAAAGTAAAAAAAAAGAACAAAAACATTCCAACATGTGAGGTTGAATTTGCAGAGGTCTGCAGCTTGTTTTGACAATCAAAGTTTAAATCATTTAATTAGACTAGGCAATGAGAGCTGGGGAAAAATATGGTTCAAAAGTATCGGATGGATTTATTACACTCATTTTCTAAATGGGGAAACTAACAAAAGTCCACTTTCATCCAACTTTCATTGCTTAAAAAAGAGAACAGAGAAAGGGAAAAGCCTAAATTACTTTGAAAGGTCATTTTTTTTCTCTTGATGGCATTTTACATTCCAACTTGCATAACTGAATAGTTTAAAAGTCATTAAATGTCATTTCTAAGGAAGTATTGATATAATAAGGTTATATATTTAGTAATATGATCTTTTATATATATTTCAAAGGAGGTCGCTTTCACAGATATTAGATAAATAACCTCTCTTTATGGCTGTGTTTTGATTTTAAGGGTGAATGGGTAGTTTGCGATAATTGGGATGGCTGTAACCTAAGTTCTGTTTGTGTATTACTTTTCCAGCCACCTCACAGTAATAAATGCATCCTAAAAAGTGAGCCATGTGCAGACTGCATTATTCATGCAAGTCTCCCTCCCACTCCCAGCTTTGCATTCACCAAAGAGCTTGTACCTCAGCTGATGAAAGAGTTTGCTATGAAGGCACAGGGCTGTGGTTTATTACAAACGGTTGTGTAATAATCAGAGGGATTTTCGTGCTGTCCTTTGCAGCTGCCACCCTGCCCACTGGAGGGAGAGGTGCCAGCCCAGGGGTCCATCAGCCAACTGCTGCCCCGTTTCAAGTGCACTTTCCTGGAAAAAAAAGGGAAGTCATTGGACTGAACCAGACTGTTCTCTGCCTMCATAAGAAATGACCCATTAAATAAAATATGCTTGTGGTAAGGTTATATAATGCCTGAACTAATCTCTAGCTGTTTATCCACTAACCTGTAGTTTTAAAACATATGTAGTGTTTTTAACATATGTAAACATTTACTGAAAGTGTAATAGTTTCTTTCACAGCTATTTAAAAAGCCAAACTGTGAGTTTTATATTTTGATAACCATTGATTCCTGCGAGTACAAACTGTTTGATTAACGAGGTGGGTGGAAATAATTGCAAAAATTTTGTATCAAAGTGTAATTTTATGCTACAGAATAACATTTTCATTCGCGTTTAAAACAACCATTTTTAATAGCTGCTTGAAATAAAAGAAAAACAAATCATAAAAACAAAAGAGCATTTGAAACATGMTGTTACTTTTTCACCAACTACTGTCTGAAGTACAAAAATACAC